TTTGTTTTAAATAAAATATTTAATTAAAATTGTTTTGTAAAAAAAAAAAACGCTCTTTGTTATATGCTTCAATATTAAAGAATCTTTTTTTTACTGAAACGATATTTAATCTAGCTAAAGTATTATTTAGTTCAAAGATAATTTTTTTTTAAATAATAGTATTTTTTCTTTTGAACAACATAATATTCTCTAACGAAACAACAAAACTCTTAATTCAATATAAAATAAAATAATATAAATTATGTTGTTTAAATTAAGTAACTTCGTCAAACAAATAGAATTGCTAAAGAAACCTTTTTCTCAGTTCATAAGGATGATAATGATATATTCGTGACCACTTCAGTCAGTTTCAATACACTCGTTCGAGTGGAAGAAAATTTAGTTTCCAAGTTAATTTTAATTCGATTTCGCGTTTTTTTTCCTCCCTGTCTGGTCTGAGAAAATGTTGATTTCTGAGATCATAAATTACAAGTGTGGTATAGAACGATTTTAGAGTATTAATTTGGTGAGAGTGGTTTACTAGTGTCACCCAGCAAACTTTCTCCTCTATGTACTATAGAAATATAAAATCACGAGTAAATTTAGAATGAGATTATTCGAAAAGTGAGTCTTCAGAGACGTGATCGTGATTGAATACGCATGACACGATACACCTTCAGCAAGACACATTCCCCTTCCTTCTTGGAGCGAGAACGCAACGCCACGGATCCGCGACGAATTGGTTCACATTCATTTCATTTCCATATTAGTTCGCATTTCTTTCCAACGCCGAGAACAGAGAGGTCACCCGCACAGAGAAAAGCACACACCCACAGCAGTCGATCTCCCCTTCACTCGGAAAAGCGAACGCGGACACTGCGCGCCATTGATACCTTCGCTTTGTCGAAGTATCACTTATCAACTTTGACACCTCCTCATCGCCAGAGAAAAAAGTTTTGATTCAGTTTACCATTTTCAAGTGTTTCAAGTACCAATAAACATCGTCGATAACAATTTACACTGTTATCCATATCGTCAACTAGCAAGAAAATACAAGTGAAAATGCAAGATGAATGAAGACCAAAGATTATACTAAAAACTGATAACTTCGAAATTTTCATCTTCCTTTCATTCTTCCTTTCGTGAAGAATTGCTCGATTTTTTAGATAAAGCAAATTAAATGGCAAATTAATATTTATTTTACGAATAATATCATAGTGACGATAGTATGATAGTGACTAATACTATCGCGATAAAAGTTGATTAAATCGGGGACTCAATTCTGACGAAATTCGGATTAATACAATCAATGATTAAATCGGCATTGCTTAACAAGATTTCTAACTATTTCTATCTCGTTTACAATCTAAATTCCTTTTCTCACGTGAGTGACAAAAAAAAAGTTTCCATGTCATCGAGTACTTTCAAGTATCAACTGATAAACAGTATCTAGAATAGAATACTTTAGATACCGTTTGTCAAATTAATCATCAGGTTAAATTGATTTATTTGCTCAAAGTTCGCCAAAGGAGCTAAAGGAGCCAAATACGATAGAGGATTCGACGCGGATTCTTACCTCGCTTCATCGGCGAAGACAAATTTCCGGAGCTTGAGGTCTCTCAATACGACCCCGTATTCGTGGCAGGTCGCTACGGCTTTAGCCGCCTGCCGGAAGAGCCGCCTCGCCTCGGGCTCGCGCAGTCTCCTGCGCGCCCTTACGTAGGCGTGTAAATCACCGTGATGGCCCTCCAAGAGGAGATAGCGCCGGCCTCCAGGTGCCTCCACCACGCCAGCCACGCCGCTCGCCGCGCCGGTGCCCTCCAGACGAAGGTGGGCCTGCAGCAACGCTTCGCAACCTTTGTCGCCCACGGTCAGCGCCTGCAATCCGGAAATGCAACGGACTCAGCAACAAAGGCGATGCAAATCACAAATCGTTGGGAATCGTCGGTCAGAAATATCGGAAATGAACGAACACCAACAAAGGCAGATAATTTCGCTCCTAATTATTAATTATGATTACCAGTTTATTCATTTATATTTTTCACACGTGATATTTCTCTGATGGATCTTTATTTTTAGAATCGGTATTAAATATTTTTCTTTCCTTTGTACTTTTGTAAATACAAACGACGGATGCGGAATTGTCTTTTGAATGAGAGATTCTTGACGGAAATTCGATACCGATATTATATCCGTATCCGATTTCGGTAGAAGTAAATTTTATCGTTCGATGAGCTTCAATTATTCCAAACGGATATCCTTCGCGAAGGCGATATTAATTTCACATATTTAAATGATAATTATTAAGATATGATCCTTCATTAGTCGCACGACACTCTGACTTTCGAACACTCGAGGTTGACAGAATGACATTCGTCTCAATTCTCTTAATTATTTTAATTAACGATCGGGTTTAAATTCCGCTTTTATATCGAAGTAATTTAACGAGATTATACACAAATGTTACGTAGCAAAATGTCACATGAGCCCAGCATAATTTTAATTATATGTAATAAATTCTCGACATACTATAATACAATGGCAAAGAATCTGAGAGAGGGTAAAAGGCCAATCGATATATTGCAACTTTGTGTATATATTATTTATTTATTTATTTATTTATAAATAATGTTTTTGTCGAGAGTAAAAACGCTCTCCGTTATGAAAACTACCGTATAGCGAATGAAATCGCCGATCACCTTTGAAACTCTACTCGTCCAGCTGTTCATCTCTTTGGCTCGTGTCGAAACCTGACACCGTTTCGACATTCGAGTCCCATTAGTTTAATAAGAGCACCGTGCATTCTTTACGAAATCGCCCCGATCGGCCGTCGAACGTCGCTTTTGTAATGCTCCCAACTCAGAAAATGCGCCGAAAATAGCTTTCGAGGATGGAAAAAAGAAAAAAAAAGAAAAAGAAAAAAGAGAGCTCGGCTTTTTCGGGCGAGCTCAACAAAATGTTGCCCAAGTTTTCGGCAAGTTCGAGTTATCAAAGAGCGATATGATTAATGCACGGAACGCGCAACTTGCCCTGTAAAGAAATTTTCTCGAGGTTCGTCTTTGGATGAAATACTTGGCGGGTGTAAGGGCGGTCTAAGAAATATGCATGACTATCTCGGGAGGAACCAACGTGACTTCTATGAAATGGGTAGCTACTTTTTTTTTCTTCCGAAATCACAATCGCGGCCACGCGGCAACGCGGACGCGCTTGCGAAAGCGTGCCCCCTCCCGCGTGTGATCGTCAATTAAATTAAATGGCCGCGGCTTTAGAAACGATTATGAATAACGGAGAGTGCGTGGCGATACGCGACGGATGTGCGAGGCGAGAGAGGCGGGCACGAGGTTGACACAGCCTTGTGTTTGTTCGCAGCGACGGTGATGTAAGCGGCTCATTGTATAACGCGCGGCGATTGTAAAATGTTAATGGAAAAACGCGACGGGGAAGAGGAGGAGGATACCGATCGGCGGTGCACGTATCATCGTGACGTTTATCAGCCCCCTTTAAGCAAGGGAGAAAAAGGGGGAGGAAAGGGGGAGAAACCGTCTGCGGATAACGGATACGAAATTCCGAGATGCTGATGATGGGAGTAAGTATACGGCATAAATAAGGCGTAAACGCGCCCGAGAAACAGGAAACGGCTCGCGCGCGTGTGCATTTGTATAAGCACTTTGCACTGACGTAACAAAGTCCTCTCGATATCAATGTAAAAAAAGGACAACAATGTTGAAATTCGAATACGAAGCTTTTATTTCGCGAAGCTTCTAGTTATGTGCATAAGAAAAAAAAAAAAAAAAATAGTACCTCAAATCAAGAGGAATATTCTCATAGGCAAGAATTATTATAATTTTCTAAAAAAATTTTAGCCTTGATTGAATTTACAAGTATTGCTTTTGCTCATTCGGGACTAAAAATCTTCTATATGAAGATTATAATATTCTTGTTTATATACGAGAATATTTATACTTGCGTCAATCAAATCAAGACTGAAATTTTTCTGAAAGAAGATTATTATATTCTCGCTTATATATGATGATCTTGATTTTAAAACCAATTTTTTTCTGTGTGTTTTTTCTTTGTGTCCAATGGAGCAGCGCGGAGAATCTGATTTAGCTATCGGGAATGGTGTGCTAAGAAGAAAATCGATAAATTTCCTTCGTTCCTCGATATCGCTCGATATCCCTCGGCATGCCTACGAAACATTTCGACTTCGAATCGCGAGGGAAGGAGTATCCCATTGAGCGAATATCTCGGCGGAAATCGTTTCTTCTTTTCTCCCTTCAATCAGGGAAAGAGGTCGTCTAGATAAGGATTAATTGAGTCTTCCTCGAGGAAGTCGTAAACGTTTCCCAGACGCACGCCGGCCGGACGGTTGCGTCGCCGTCGATCTCGCAACGAGCTTCACGGTGGAAGCTTCGATCGACCCGAACATTAGCGAACCGTTACGTCCGTATGCTCTATTATATAACGCTACGGCAGTTGGATGGAAACTCGGCAGCTGCAGTGCGTCGCGGCTGCATCCACGTGCGATGCGGCGCGCCGTCGTCTTTATATGCCGCGCCAATGCCGCATTATACGGCAAGAAGCTAATTCGTGATACTGCCATCGGTATTGCGAAAGCCTCGTTCAATTTATCGCCGTTTGTGTGTACCGTTATTATATAAGAGCGAACGCTCGGAATACCAATTATCATCTAAATAACGACCCTTCTGTTTTTAATTTTTGAGAAAAGCAAAACAATCCTTGATTTAACGATGGAAAAGTAAATTATCTTAAGATTATTTTTGTTTATCATTAATCGTTTAATAGTGTATGATAATTTGGTTAATTAATGAAAGAAATTCCGTAACACGGAAAAAAAAAATGTCTTTGTCTTAAATCAAGACTGTATGTTTTTCTCACACATAAGCAAGAATATTATTATCTCTTTAGAAAAATTTTAGTTTTGATTTGATTGAATTTGTATCGATGCAAATACGGATATTCTCATATATAATCAAGAATATTCTAATTTGCATATAGAAAATTTTTAAGCTGGAGCTGAGCAAAAGTTAATACTTTCATCGATAAAAAATGCAATCAAATCAGGGCTAAAATTCTTAAGGAGATTATCATATTCTTGAGTGAGAATATTTGTCTTGATTTGAGACCAATTTTTTACTGTGTATTTAACTCAGAATTTTATTTTTAAAAAATAAAATTACGCTCTAATAAAGTTGCCGCCTTTTACATCTCAATTCTCATCCGTCATTAAGGTTTATAAAAAAATTAAATTACAATTAAATAAGAATAATAATGCGAAACGCGTAAAAGAACTCGTAATACTGACCTTGGCGACAAGTTGCTGACCGTTGTGGACGTCGACGCACCGATAAAGAGCGCTACCCTCGGCCGGACCAAGAAGCAGGAATCGATCCCCCAGTATGGTCGGACCCCCGTGAAGGTCGGCGAGCACCGACTCGCAGCTGGGAAAGACGCAGCTCGGCGGCACCACCGCGCTGCTCTCGTCGCTGGCCGGCTGCTGTTGCTGCGGTGACGGCTGTTGATGGACGATGTCCTGACTACCATTGAAACCGACCGGGAACTTGCCATTGTTGTTGCGGGCCGGTATTTGCAGATGCAGTGGATGCTGCCTGGCCACTCTCATGTTGCGCACACAGACGCAAACGCACACGCACACGCACACGCACGCGCACACGCACGCGCACACGCACACACGCACTCAGCCGTTATCTCGGTCGGTCCTGCGTCCTGGTCCAGCCGATTCGCGCGATCGTCGAGATTATGAGTGAGATGCGTTGAACACACTTCCGCGTCACTTGGACTTAGCACTGGAACGAGTATCCGACATTTGTTGTATATACAAAGAGTATACGGAGGATTTCGCGATGGTTTCGGCTCCTCTCTGACGCGTTAACTATTAGAAATATCACTTGTGCTTTTGACCCGCGCAGTGTCGTTTAAGCAATGTCGCTGCGCCGGGTCCTTGGACGGAGAGAGATCTTCGTGGGTTATCAGTCGGTCGCTCTCGAGAGCTGATCCTGTAACACGAAGAAAACGATTGTTGTTACAGCAACGGTTAATGACTTTGAAGATTGTAGATGAATTGTAAACCGTGTAACAAATAATATACCGTGTTCATTTTAAAAAAATTTAATATAAATGCGCTCAAAAATGTTTCATCGACATTAGAAAATGGTTCTCAATATTATCCACACCTAATTTGAATAAAATATTTCTAAGCGTTTTCTACAATTTTTAAAAATTTTCACGTCTTTTTTCTCAATGTTGATACCCTGTATTTTGAAAACAAAGCACTTTAAGATATGGACCTTTCATAAAATAATAAGCCAGAGAATGTCTGGCGTAAATATTTTTTATATTTACTTAGAAATCACTCTGTATAATAATACTTTATAAGTGTGTCAAATTCAATCTTTGTATTAAAGAAATGAAGCTAATTGCTAAGTATCGTGAATATTTAGCGTCAGACGGACGTCAATCGAATCACGTCACTTTCACATCTTCCTTTTGGAGACGTCGCGTTACATCCCTTTCGTAAAAATAAAAAGGGAAAAAAATAATTCTGATACAGGTGGCCCTGGCCAAAATAGCAGGAGAGGCATGGCGCACCCACACCACAATTACGCCTACGCGTTTCGCATATGGTCGTACATATATGTGATCCGACGATGATGACGACAACGACGACGACGACGACGACGACGACGACGACGACGATGACAATAGTTCTATTCACGGGGAGTCCGTAATATGATTCACGGACAATTTCAAAATACGATGTTTCGACATTCTCGCGCCTTATGCGCAATTCCTACGATTACACGGCCAAGAGGAGGGGAGGAGGGGACTCCGCCGTAAGGTCAGGGATATTTGTCCCGGGGTACAGGGACGGCGGTGAGCCTCGGACTGCCCCAAGCTAATTTCCGGCCGTGTGGCCGGCGTTACGAGCGTCGATCGTTTCGTTTTATCACTTCGCGTAAGCGCAAACACTTTTTTTTTTTACAAAGTTTCTTTATAAGAGCTGCGAACGAAAGTGCGAGCGTCGCGTCGACATTTCCCACAAATTTAGAGAGCGGCATGCAGGATGCTTATTTGAAAGTTGCGAGGGAAAGTAACGGTCGCTATGCTCACTTATTCATGCAAAAATCGCTCTGAAGCGGGACAAGAGAGTGAAACTGAGATTATCCTCAATATTCTTGCTGTAATAAAATTTTGTTACTCTCATGCGATGCGAGCGCGACATTGATCCTGGGTTCCGAGGTGTCGACGCATCTTCGCGGAGCCAGCACTGGACCGGACGAAAGTAACCGGCGACGAGGGAAATTGCGTGACGGTTTTATGAATGATCGGATAGAAAGAGGAGGCGGCACACGTGACTGGCGGCGACGATAATCGCGTAGACGTAAAACGGCGCGATCGCTCGCGCCGGAAAGGAAAATATCATCCTCTCCCTCCTTCCTTCCTACCCCCGCCCCAGCGAAGTACGGTCGAATTTATTCGAGACCGCCTGAAATAGTAGCGGGCTGTGATGATCCACTCGCGCAATGACTCACGCGCGTAATTTTATCTAAATGCCTTTCCCTTCCCCCGCTCCTCCGATCCCGGCCCTGATAAGTGTCGATGACACGCCATTGATCCGCGATGTTTACAAAACAATGCACTCTCGCTCGCCGCATCATCGAAAATTCACAGTTAAGAACGGGTGCATCGTCGGCTGATGGGGCACGGCGTGCCCAATCCCAATTCGATTGTCGATCAAACGCACGAACTTAAACTTAAATCAAACGTACCCTAGAATTGAAAATAATTTTACTGGGAAAATAATTTTACTATCGAAATGATTAGATAGAACGTCCAAATTGATTATTAAAAATATAAAAGATTTTCATATTATATCATGTTTAAGCGTTTTACAAAGGATCACTGCTGATCAGTGGCTGAATAATCATCAATAAATATATGACTATGTTTAAGAAAAATATTAAAATAATAAGATCTCAAAATATTAATAAATTAATGAATCGTTATTTTTGATGAATAGATATTTTTATATCTAATTTTCACAGATTTGATTTTTCGCATGAAAATTTGTTCTGGGAGAAAAAAAATCATGAATATCTGCATTTAGAGTATTGAAGATTAGCAGTTCCTAACTCGAATATCGCAAAAAGGTTTAATTATAACTTATAACTACAACGAATGCGATTGTCGACGACTGTAGCGTGGGAAAACTGATCGGGCAAAGTTCTCGAAATCCGTTACTAGCGATGTCGTCTCCTCGATTAGCGCCTCCTCGAATTATACCTTTCTATCCGCATAATCGTTCAGAATCGCCGATTCAAGATATGCAAATGTCACACGCTTGTCCTTGAGGAAGCTCCTCGAAGCGTGCAATCAGCGCGCCGCGAATATTCATTTCTCATACGACTTCGTGCAAAATCGCTTTTTCTTTAAATTAAAAAAAAAAAAAAAATCAAATTCAAGTCCACGTTCAGATTACAATCGCGTTCAATAGAGAGAAATAAAGACGATGTACGCGACTAATGAATATTGTGTGATGTGCCTTAAAATATGAAAGTATTTTTTATCCTTTTTTTTGTTAATTTATGGATTAGATAAAAGCAACCGTTGCGGATAATTAGACTTCATTTTCTGGAAATGTAAGATAAGTATTTCAGCTTATGTTATATCACGTAATTATAAAAATTATAGGATGCTAAGCGGGCATTGTTCTTGTTCATAAGGAATTATAACAAATTAACAGCAACAATTAATGTTTCATCAATAACGAGCGAGGTTCGAGGAAGTCGGTATTTCTGCAGAATGAATTATCCATAAAAGAATCGGTCTTTTGGAGATTGTGTAAGAAAATAAAAATTGATAGCGATCGACACGTGATACCAAGAGGGACAGGAAGTATGTTAAACCAAGTGAGTTTATTTTGAATTCAACGAGTCGTCCGCGGGAAGTGAATAATTCCGAATTATAATTTAATTGACGCAAAATCCGGCTGTTGCACGTAAAGCTCATAATGCCTTCCCTACCGTCGCGAGAAATGTTCAAACTTTTACGGCGCGAAAGACGGAATATCCGGGATGATAATCCCTACGATTCACACGCTATTCTCGGCGGTCTACATCACTGCTCGTGAATTTTTGCAACGATCAGCCTTGGGGAATCGGGTAGAGCAGCCGCCTATCACGGACAATTTTGATGGAGACGTTGCTCAACGCTGCCTTGTTTACGTGTCGCGTTTGTATGTATCGTATCGTTTGAAAATCATATATCACTCGCGCGGCAGATGTTGACTGGCGATACTTCGGTCTCCGTCTCCTCCTCTCCCCCCTCCCTCCTCCCCACTCCTATTCCTCTTTTCCATTACGATATCTACGCACTTGCGCAAAAGTCGTCAACACCGACGCAACATGACGAGTCTTTCGAACCGGCCGCTCCAAAGATCAGAACTGTGCAATAACGCGATCTCCCTGCTCTCCTCTCCCCTCTCCCCCCCCCTCTCCCGTCATCACCTCATCGGCCGTCTCTGTCCTTTGCCGTTTCCTCTTCGTCGCATACAAAACGAAATAACGAGTAATATCGGTTTTATCGCCGTCGAGAAGACTCTAACTAACGCGGAAAGCGACTTCGATCACGTGGATACCGCGATATTCGTCGAGGTCAGCGCCGTATCGTCAGGTGAACGTGCTGCAGACTTCGAATTTCAATCAAGAGGAGCATTCCCCCCCCGAGATCATCGCTGCACGATGATCCGACGGTGCTCCGGCAAGTCTGACTTGTCTGGCGATAGTTCCTTAAATTTGGCCCTTATCGCGTATATTTTGAAAAAGATAGTCCGGTAATCTTGGTATTGCGCGCTTTTTGTGTGAAGCCGAAATAACGAATGGATGGAATGGAATTGAGAACAACCCGATCGAAGTGATCCGAGCGAGCTTACGTCTCTATGAAAAGTGCGTGAAAGCTGAGATATTCATTGACGCACAACAAAGATTAATATACAGCAAAGATTACATCATTTCTTTCGAAGGAAATGATGTAATCCATATTGTATATTAAGTTACACGAATTCAAATTCGTTATGCATGAATAGCAGTTGACCTTTCTGCGACTTTTTCCTCGCAATGTATTCTTTCTCATACACACATGTACACAGATATCTATGAACATAAAATAAGTATCGCGTAATGCTTCTTATTCTTACGTCGGAAATTCTAATGATGACAGCAAATCTCCTTCGCAAAAATAAAATTTTTTTTTATACGAGAGAGAAGCAGCTGTGTTACGACAGGATGTGAAAAAAAAAAAAAGAAAAAGAAAAACAAAAATCCATCGCAAAAGAACATCGAGAAGTCGTCGAGGGGCGAATCGAGAGGCCGTCTCGTGAGACGACCGGTGATTTAGCCGGCAGGTGCGCGAACTCTTCGGGGCATTGTCGAGGTCTTCCCCACCCCCTTCTTTTCGCGTTCCCCTCAATGAAACGCGCGTATCTGACGAAATCGCGAGCTCGGAATTAGTAAAGTGTTGCGTTCGCCGTCGCCGTAGCCGCCATCGTTGTCGCTGTCGCCGCGTGTGTCGAAACGACACGAGCGATACACCAGTCGACCCACACACAGCCGCACACACACACACACACACACACACACACACACACACACACACACACACACACACACACACACACACACACACACACAC